GCCGGGTGCGGTGGCTCATGCTTGTAATCCCAGGACTTTGGGAGGCCAAGGTGGTTGGATCACGAGGTCAGGAGTTCAAGACCAGCCTGCTGGGAGGTGGAGATTGCAGTGAGCTGAGATGTCGCCACTGCACTCCAGCTTGGGTGACAGAGCGAGATTCCGTCTTAAAAAAAAAAAAAAAAAAAAAAAAAGAAAGAAAAGAACGGCTCTCTGCTTGTGTTTCTCAGAGACATCTTAAATACCACATATCTCAAGTCAAATTCATAATCTTCTCCCTTTAACCTCTCCCTCTCCTGATGTTTTCTATCTCAGTGATTGGCACCATCTGTTCAGTTTCACTGACCAAAGTCTGGGTTTATCTTTGGCATATCCCTGTTCTTTACTTTCCATATCCATTGTATCACCAAGACTTACTGAATTTTCTACGTGTTTCCTCAGATGTCCATTTCTCCATCTTCACTGCTCCAGTCCAAGCTATCATCTCCTAGTCCTATATAATATTGATTGAACATCCTTAATCCAAAAATCAGAAATCTAAAATTTTCCAGGATCTGTAACTTTTTGAGTGCCAACATGATGCTCAAAGGAAATGCTCATTGGAGCATTTTGGATTTTGGATTTTCGGATTAACGATCCTCAACTAGTAAGTATATATAATGCAATGTTAAAAAAGAAATCCAAACACTTTCAGTTCCAAGCATTTTGGATAAGGGATACTCAACCTGTAGTAGTAAACTCATTATCTACTCTTGTTCCTTTCCGTGTTCTTCTCCATGCTGCTATTGAAGTAAAACAAACAAACTTACTGAATCTGGTTATGATATTCCTGTTTGAAACAAATTGCTTTTAGGATAAAGAACAAATTTTTTAACCTGGTCTATAAGGCCCTTTGTGCTTTGGCATCTGTATAACCCTATAGCCTCATCTCATGCCACTTTTTTAGACTTTTCTGTTTTCTGGTCACATTGACTTTTTAAGTTCTTCCAATAGACCATGCTTTCTCCTGGTTCAGAACTATGATGTATAATTGGTAACTTTTAATACATATTATAAAATGGAATGTCTATTGTTAGAGAAATGAATGTATCAATATTTTTGAGTAGATATTTATAATCCTAAAAGGGTAATGTTCTGTGTAGCATTCTTTTCTTGAAAAGTAAACTGTCTGTGAATTATTGCAAATAAGCACAAGCATTTTCAGTGATAATTTGTTCCTTTTCAGATTATATCACACATCTCAATTTTCCCTGAAGTCAGTAATAAAACAAACACTTATGAGCTACATTTATTCTATTTTAAAGTAAGACAACATTTTCCATTATAAATTTAAGCCATTCTATTTTTTAAGTGCTGCAGTGTGGAGATAGGAAGGGAATGTAGGAAATACGTTATTTAAAAAACAAAACAAAGTAATTAGACTTTATGTGAAAGTAGTGACTAATCAATATAAGTGGAAGCTTCCATTCTGAAGACAGTGAAGATTTTTTAAATAAGATTTCAAATCACCTTCTCTAATTACAGATAAAACAAATCTTGGATATTCTCACTTGCGCCAGGGCACCAGAGCAGAGCTGTGTTACTAAATTGATTTATTGTATTCAATTGTGAGCAGTTGGGGGAGATTATTGCTTAGTTTTGCATGATAGGTTTATTGTTGTATATTTGGTAGTAAAGGTTTTTTGTAATTAAAATATAGAATATCTTACTCTATAAGATTTCTGTTTGTAAAATGATAAATTGGTTTCTTGTTTATTTCTGACTGTAAAAAGAGAAATTGTTTTGTTCATTTCCAGTTCAGATTGTATTTAATTACTTAAGTAACTTTAACAGGTATGGCTCCATATAACCATATATATAGTAATTACTTATTTTTCCTTAATTTTTTAAGTCAGTATAAAAGATTAAACTCTACAGAAGAATGCAATCAAGTGATGGCTTTTCCTTTAGAATTTGAATATGGAGGCTACAGGAACAGATGAAGTTGACAAGCTAAAAACTAAATTTATATCTGCTTGGAACAACATGAAATATAGTAAGTATCATGTTTTGAAAATTGTATAAATCCAAAGAAATATTTGGCAATATTTATCATCTTCCCTCTTAAGTCACTGACAATTACTTGAGAATAAATGGCATACTTTACTTTGAATGAAATATTTCTATAAGGAATGTAGTTAAAAATATCTCCTGAAGAAAGAGCCAAGTATCATCATAAACATTGCTTAGAAAGCTTAGAAACTGAAGCATATGATGTGGTCTTTTTTTTTTTTTTTTTGGAGACATAGTCTTGCTCTGTTGCCCAGGCTGGAGTGCAGTGGTACAATCTCGGCTAACTGCAATCTCTGCTTCCCAGGTTCAAGTGATTCTCCTGCCTCAGTCTCCTGAGTAGCTGGGACTACAGGTGCGCACCACCACACCCGGCTAATTTTTTTTGTATTCTTAGTAGAGATGGGGTTTCACCATATTGGCCAGGTTGGTCTTGAACTCCTGACCTTGTGATCTGCCCGCCTTGGCCTCCCAAAGTGCTGGGATTACAGGTGTGAGCCACTGCACCTGGTTTTTTTTTTTTTTTTTTTAAGTTGCTAGAGTATGTTAATATCCTCATGGCTTGTGTAATTTTTTTTTTTTAGCGTTCTAAAGCGTATAGAATTTGAGGTGATGATAATACCTTGGCTTTTCAGATACAATTTCAGGCAGCCTCATTTCTGTGCCAGGTACTTGGGCAGAACCAGCTTCAACAGGAAAAAAGCTCATATTCATAAAATAAGTGTGAAAACAGAATTCAGTATAACCCCTTGAGAATGCAAATTCAGGAAAAACACAATTGGCAGTTTAAATTTTGTACTATAAGAACATTGTGAGAACTTGATAAAGACCATTGTGAGCTATCTGAAAATAAATTAAAATTAAAATTTTTTCTTTCTTTTGCCCTTTAATTGGATAGTTTTTAAAGTGTGTTTAAAATTGTTAACTTTATTTGAAACTAGCATAAATTGCCTGTATTTCCAGTTCATTGTACAAATATTGTGTTTTGCAACTGTTGCCAAAAAATGCACATCCATAAATAATAATTAATGGTTTGAAATTAAATAAAAGAAAATGCTGCTGTACTTTTAGTCTGAAGTCTTTTAATTACAAAATGTTTTTTTTTCCCTTTTTTTGTTAGGTTGGGTGTTGAAAACAAAGACGTATTTTAGTAGAAATTCTCCTGTATTATTGCTTGGAAAATGTTACCATTTTAAATATGAAGGTAAGTGCAAAATTTGTGAATCATTGAAAAATTTTTGTAGAAATCATCATATAACTTTTTATTATTTTATTTCTAGATTAATCTACTTTTGCAATATTTCTGTTAAGTATTTGTATTTCTTATAGCCCATGATATATTACTTTGTTGTTTGGGTTTCTTGTTAACTACTTGAGGATAAGGATCTTGTCATCTTTTGTTCTATCCCTGTGATTTTGGACTTATAGTATGAGTACTAAGTAAATATTATTTGAATTGAGATGTTAATATTCTTTGTCACATTCTTTGATAATTAAAAGTATCACCTTAGTTAATCTAAAAATGATAATTTTTTTCAATTCTTAAGGATGTTTCAGTATCTGAAATTGACTTTACTTGATGGTTTTGAATTTCTACGTATACTAATGCTTTCAGTAATTTTCTTATATTTTCTTTTAATAATTCGTGTCACTCATTGGGTGCCAGGCACCATGCTAGGCTCTTTAGGAAATATCTTTAATTCACACAACAAACCTACAAGATAGATTGAGGTATTCCCATCTTATGAATGTGAAGGCAGGAAATTTGAGAAGTTAAATAATTTGTGCAAAGTCACATGGGTATTAAGTGGCAGAGCTGAAATTTAAACCAAGACTGTGTCTCTAATACTGGCATTCTTTTAAATATACATCCTTGCTTGGTTTTATGTTTTGTGTGTGAGAAAGAGAGAGTGAATATGTGTTACAGTATGTTGTTACCATGGCTTTTCATTTTTGGTTGACCTATTTTGGTATATCATTTATTAGCAATTTTCTAAAACCTTGTAAATGGCTTGTAGTAATAACAGCTGACATTTATTGAGCATTTATAATGTGCCAAATGGTATTCTAAATAATTTACATGCATTAACTCATTGAGTCCTTACAACAATCTTGAAGGATAAGTAGGAATTTGATAAAGAAGGAATGCATTTCAGGTAAATAGAATGGCATGATGAAAGCAATAGCAGTGAGATATTAAAGGGCATATTTAGGAGACAGAGAGATGTCCAGTTTAGCTATGGTAGGAGATAATTTTGAAAAGGACCAAATTATAGAGGAAGATCTTGAGTGCTGTGCTAAAGAGTTAGGTCATTTTTTTTTTTTTTTTTTGGGCCGAGGACCAACATAGCAATATGTATGGTTGAGAGTATGGGTTTGTATCTATATGTCTGATACATATAAGCATTTTAAGTGATATTATTTATGAATTCAAAAATTAAAGTTATTAGAATTATTCTTAGGATGCATTATGTATATATATTTTGGAAGAAATACTTTGAAAAATCAAGAGATGAAAAGTAAATTATAAAGAAGCTATAAATGAGGGAAATACAAGACTTCTTTTCTGGAGTAGGATTAGGGATATAGGAAAGGAGAAAGGTGTGGGAAGAGGGGATAAGAAAAGAGAGAGAGCCAGAAAGGCGGCCGGAGGCGTTATGTCCATTGAGAGGTTTCCTTGTTATTGTCCCTGATCTTCAGTAAAGTCAGTTAAGCTCATGAAATACTTGATGTAAGAGGAATTTTTCTGGAAAAAGGTTAAATTTGGCATCTGGGATGAAAACAACAACACATTATCATTGCAAGAGCTAAAAGCACATAGGACCATGACCTTAAGCTGTGAAGAATTAGCAGAAACCTTAGGGCTAGCTTTGGACTTCTACATGTCATATCATTTTTGGTTCAAACAAATGCTGGCTAGGACATTGATCATGCCCAGAAGGAGCACATCAAAATCATAACTGAATATATGCTTGTGAAATCATAGGAATTACATATATTAGTTTCTGTCCTCTGTTCCTGACTCGGAACTAAAACCCTTATAATATCCTGAGTGGTAGGGGTACTAGGAACATCTTTTGTTCTAGTGTTTGGTCTTTGATCCCAGTTCCTAACACAGTTGGTAACTCTTAGAATTTGCTGAGTGATGGTGGTGATGGGAGTGTCTCATAGGAGCTCCTAAATCCCTTGGAATTTCCTGGTTGATTAGAATGCATCTTTTGTTCTAATAAGGTGACTCTGTTGGTTTCTGGATGGCATCTTGTCACCAGAAAGACCAAGCCATGATTAGAAGCTTGGAACTTTCAGCCCATTCCCAATCCTCTGGGGAAGAGAAGAGGAACTGGAGATTGAGTTGATAATTTATCATGCCTATGTGATGAAGCCTCCATACGAATCCCTAAAGTATGGGATATGGAGAGCTTCTGGGTTGGTGAACACATCCACCTCCTGGGAGGTTAACACACTCCAATTTCATGGGAGCAGAAGCTCCTGTGCTTGGGACCCATCTAGACCTTGCTCTGTGTACCTCTTCATCTGTATTCTTTGTGACATGCTTTATAATAAATGGCAAAATATAACCAAGTGTTTCCTTGAGTTCTGTGAGTCATCATAGCGAATTACCAAACCTGAGGAGGGGATAGTAGGAACCGCTGATTTGTAGCCAAGTTGGATGGAAGTATGGGTAATCTGGAACCTACTTCTGATGATTGGTATCTGAAGTGGAGATTGATCTTATGGGACAGCCCTTAACCTGTGGGGTGTGTGCTAACTTTAGGTAGTTAGTTCATAATTGAAGTATGGGATTCCTGGTTGGTGTCTGCAGAGTTGGAATATCGGTTGGTGTGGGAAAAACCTTCACACATTTGGTGTCAGAAGTGAAGTGTTGAATATAGACTAAAAGGAAGTGTTTTTCCACTTCATGCTTTAAAAAGATAACTGATGGTAATGTAAAAGAATTGAAAGTCAGCAGGCAGGACATGATGACTTTGATATAGGGCAATGGATCTGGAAAAGAGAGGACGGATTTGAGATGTTTTAAGGTAGCATCAACAGCATCTGGCAGATGATTGGATTTGGGGTCTTCGAAGACAGAGAGGAAACAAAGATTTAAATATCTCCATCTTGGATGATAGTGTTGGTAACCAAAAGTGGTATACTAGAGGAAGCCTGAATTTTAGGGGGAAGATAATTTAAATTCAGGTATGTATTATTTCAGGTAGGCTGTGTGGAAGTGAAGGATAGACATATTGATTTGTTAAGTTCCCCCCCCGCCCCAGCAAGATGGCATTTAAGGCCAATAGATAAGATTACATTGATGGAAAGTAGAGGTGGAAAATATCTGTCTTTAAGGATATACTGAAGAAGGATCAGTGAATTAAACTGAGAAAGGAAAGGCAATATATAGCACAAAATTCACAATAGTATACTACTGTAGAAACCAAAGGAAAGACATTTGCAGAAAAAGGCGGTTTTACAAAGTGTATAAATGCTTAAAAGAGATAGAGCAGGAAATAGCCTGAGTAGACAGCGTAGGGTCTGGCAATGAGAAATTACTGATGACTTTTGAGAGAGCATTTTTACTAGAGTGGTAAGAACACAAAAGTAAAAGCAGTCATATTAATAGCAGCTAGTCTACATTTACTGATGCTGTGATATGTGCTATTTGCTGTGGCTCCATGATATGTGCTAAAACTAAATTGCATTGTTTTATAGAACGAATAGTTATGATACTGGAGTAGAGAAGAATTTATTTTTTATAGTCTGAGACAGTGTCTTGCTCTGTTGCCCAGGCTGGAGTGCAGTGTCACAATCATGGCTCACTGCAGCCTTGACCTCCCTGGGCTCAAATGATCCTCCTACCTCAGCCTCCCAAGTAGCTGGGACCACAGGTGTGTGCCACCACACCCAGTTAATTTTTTATTTTTATTTTTTGTAGAGACAGGGTCTCCCTATGTTGTCCAGGGTTGTCTCAAACTCCTTGGCTCAAGTGGTCCTTCTACCTTGGCCTCCCAAAGAGTTAGGATTACAGACTTGAGCCACCGTGCCAGCCAAGAAGAACTTGTATAAACTGTAAAACACAGTCTATAAAGGGAAATATTAATCAGTTTGACCAGATAAAATTAAAACTATCCACATGATATTTATACAAATATGTATAAATATACATATATAATAAATATATGTACAATATATTACATTAAATATATGTGTATGTTTATATATACATATGTGTATATATACATATACATATGTGTATATATACATATGTATGTATGTATATTTAAAAATACATATATGTATATGTATACACATGTGTATATATACATAAACATAGACATAGTGTATATAACATATAGTCTATAATCATAATTATATAATTATACTGTATAATTTTATATAATTATACTGTGTAATCATACTGTATAATTATATAATGTAATTATATGATATAATTATACAGTATAATGTATCACTTAGGTAATATATAATTATATATTTATAATAATATATTATAAATATATATTTACACATACATTTTATAGTATGTGCAAAGATGTATCAGGAAAGATTAGTCTACAAAACAATAAAGAACCACAAATGAATATGCATTGAATATAAAAACTTGAACAACCCAAGAAAAATGAGCCAAGATTATGAAGAGGTGCTGTCTAATTAGAAACTTGAATGGCCAAATATAAGAAAATGCATATCCTGGTAATAAGGGGAATGCAAATGAAAATGAGATACTATTCTTATCAGATATAATATACAAAAATTTAAAGGTTTGATGATATCAAGTGTTAGCAAGGGTATGAAGAAATGGGAACTGAAACACTGCTGGTGGGACAGTAAATTGGTATAACCGGTTTGTGAGAAATTTGCGAGTACCTAGAAAAATAGAGAATATGTATAACTTACGACCCAGCATTTCTAAGACCCTTAAGTATTTACAGAGAAGTTCTCCATATGTGTGGAAAACACATGTACAAGAAATTTATTGTAGCTTTAATAAAAAGTTGGAAACAAGTATTCACAAGAAGAGGATTAGATGAATAAAGTTATTCATTCATTCCACAAGTATTTATTGAGAGCTTACTATGTGCCAGGCACTGGGGTTACTGCTAAAGGTATGAAACACACAATCTTTACTCTCAAGCAACTTACAGTCCAGCAGATGAGAGACATTAAATAACTAGAAAAATA